CAAAATGTATACGATTTTTAATACATTTTATTATTATTTAGTTTCCCTGCGTCAATTGTTTCTCTGTCTTCCTTTTAATGATGACCTTTACTTTCCTGTTTCGGCATTGTTTATTTTTCTTACTCCAGCTTTCTGTGTTTTTTTTTTTTTTTTTTTTAGAACGTATATGTAATGAAATTGAAATGTACCGATATCTCGCGAATAAATCTGCATTCTAATCGTTTGCCGCAAAAACAATTTATTTTTAAGTTGAGCAATTCTTTGAATAATTATTTTTTACTTATAATTTTTATGTATATAATTTATATGTATGTATACAGAATGCTCCGAAATTAACGAATCAAAATCTTTTTGCACGATTTTTGAAAAATTAAATAAAAAAGTTATGTGTACATTTTTATTTCAAGCAATAGTTTTGAGAAATAAAGGTTTGAATATAGCCAATTACAGATTACGTTTAGACGATCACCTGTCCATAAATCGCGCGTGTGGTAATTTAGCTCTTTAGCGTTCAAACGTTTATCTATAATTGACTATATTTAAACCCTTATTATTTCACAGAAATGCTTAAAATAAAAATAACTTTACAAAAAATTTTTTACTTAATTTTTTGAAAGCTTTTTTATTATGATCCTTTGCTTCGCAAATTTCGAGACACTTTGTGTATAAATATATATTTATATTCGCAACATTTCTTTTTTTTTTTTTCATTCTTTATGAAAACTTTATTGAAATGAATTCGTAATTATGCTGTTTACATTACAGTATCGAAATTATTCTAGCAATCACATAAAGAATTATAAATCCTTTTTTTATAAATATGTGATACTTAAATAAATTTTAATTTATCTGATGTACCTTACAAAGAGGAAATATTCACGTTGTTTTATTCAATTTATAAAGTTACATCGCGCATATCGCTGCTACAAAGTTTCATATTCCTCGTACAACCTTGATGATAAGAAGACAACGACTGCATTGGGCACATCGCCAGCCAAGTCGGGGGTGAACCACCCCCGACGTAACGTGAGTCACAAGTAATGGGGCTGAAGAGGAAAGAGACTACTGGCAGAAGGGGTGTGGTTCGAATTTATGGTTCACTCCGAAGGAGTTCACTCCGAAGTTATGCGTTTGCAGTCTGGCTACTTGGGACAAGAGATAAAGATCTGTTTTATAGTCGTCCGTAATTATGTTGATCAACCGATCGAGTTACATATCGCTTCTAATTGGATCGTCACAACATTGTCATAGACGGAAAGCATCGCTGTGAAATATCGTCATCGCAATATCGTAAATCGAACGAACGTTCCTTGTGTCACAGAATTAATGTCCAATTAATTACGTGCAAGCGAAACTGCTCGAGATATTCGCTATTTATGCATTGAAATTATTGATCAACTTTTCTAAATCATTAAGAGCGATGGTATCCAGAAATACAGCCAGTTTTTTAATTATTTCACAGTTAGCAATACCTAAATTAGTAATCTAAGTTACTTATTTACGAGAACACTAAGATCCATTTATTAATACTTTAATAAAGTCTGGAGATTCTTTATAGCAATTGACAAATATACATTTATAATATTTTGAGCTGTAAATTGCAGATTTTTCACTCAGACCAAAAAAGGATAGAGAATTAAACAATATTGCAAGATTAATTTTGAATCGTGTTTATCTTATGGCAGAAGATCTGAAAATTTAAAATATAAAATTGTTATAACCAATTTAGAGTGGAATATTAATTATTTCATTCTGCCATTTTGAGCGCGGTTTTCACTATATATTTAGCCACGTATTCTTCGTTTTTTCTGATAACTATAGTTTGTCTGATAACTCGCTTCTCCGTCTGTAATTAATTTGAATTGCGAATCACGGGACAAACGTTTATCGCGCCTCGTTATTGAAATAAACGCGCACCGTCGTTATAATCTCGACCCGGACGCGAATTATTATTGTCCAAGAAAAGAAAGACGTCGCATTATAGCGCTATATCGACTCCACGGAGTCATAAACTGAAGGTTTTATTGGCGATATCGGATATCGGCCGATCGTTATGTTTGCATTTGAACATTCTTTATGTATACATGCACGTATGTAGAGGGTGTCGTAGAATCATTGCTGTCTTTTCTACGATCAAATTCTTCGATCAAATAGGAGAGTCAATCTTTTTTACAAGAATCGGCATAATTATTTTGGGGCTATGAGATATTGAAATTCATGAATCCGTTGTGAGTTACACATGTTGAAAGTACGAATTATCATAAAAATAATAAAATTTCGTAATCACAAGATATTTATAGTGACAATATATTGTGATAAATTAAAGTTATTCATCAATTTTTTATTAAAGAAAGAAGAACTAAGAATCCAAGCTAAGAATTTATAGCATACGTCTGCAACACCCCATATACAGCTTCAGAGCACACAAGCAACCCTTGTCTCAATGGCAAAGGTCGGCTGCCGCGATAGCGGCGATTCGATTTCTTTTTCTCCGAGAAATCAATCTCTGCGCTAATAATATATAGAGAGTAATGATACAATCAGAATGGAATATGATTCTTTAAAGGTTTGCCCTCACGTCGACCTGGATCAATGATCGATTGAAATGAACGTCGCGTTC